AAAAAAAAAAAAGTCTGTAAGACTCTAATCTCCAATTAAGTGGCAAAAAGCTCCCAGGGCTCAAGTACGTAGAGCATCAGCTTTGAGCAAAAAAAAAAGCCAAGGGAGAGTACAAGTTCCTTAGTTTGAGCCCTAAAACCAACACAAAGAATAAAAGAAAAGAAAAAGCTAAGGGACAGAGCCCAAGTTCTGAGTTCAAACCCCAGAATGAACAAAGGAGAAAGAAACACTGGAGTCCTCTGGCTGGGTATAAACACCCAATCACCGTGGTAACCCTGGCATCTTCACAGGGCAGGAGACTCCAAGAGTGCAGATGAATGAGATTGCAGTGCGGACAGACAACTTTGGACATTGTCTCTGGGGCTGGACTTTCATGTGGCATCAGGTCTTTCTTTTTTTCTTTTTTTGGGGGGTCCAGTTGTGGAGCCTGAACTCTGGGCCTGGGCGCTGTCCCTCAGCTCTTCAGCTCAAGGCTAGCGCTCTACCATTTGAGCCACAGCACCACTTCCAGCTTTTTTCTTTATGCTTATGTGGTGCTGAGGAATCGAACCCAGGGCCTCATGCATGCAAGGCAAGCACCCTACCACTGAGCCACCTTCCCAGCCCTGGTCTTTCTTTTCTTTTTCCTTTTTTTTTTGTCTAATACTGAGAGTTGGACTCAATACCTGACACGTTCACTCATCGGCTAGTGCTCTACCAATTTAGTCACCTCCAATCCCACCAGCATCATCATAGTTGAGAAATGTGGCTCTGTGAGTCCATTCAGAAACTCTCCAATGACTTCTCATGTGTCAGGAGCTGGACAGGGAGCAGGGCAGGCTGGCAAGATTCATTCAGTTATGGGCTTAAGCTTCAGCAGGTGCCCATAAGGCTTGCCAAAGGATTGTACTGGTGAGGGCACAATTTCACACGAGTATCTGTGAGAATCCTGAGGCTGAATTTTTTTTTTTTCTTCTCTACCCCTTCCTTCAGCCATCTAGGAATCTACACCATCTGCGTGCCCTTTTAGACAGGATGATGACAAAAACTACCCACCTAAGCTGGTCTCTGGCTGCTCACACCTGTAATCCTAGCTGCTCTGGAGGCTGAGATCTGAGAATCACAGTTCAAAGCCAGCCTGGGCAGGAAAGCTCATGAGACTTTGTCTCTAGTGAACTATCAAAAAAGCCAAAAGTGTGCCAGATGCCAGTGGCTCATGCTTGTAATCCTAGTTACTCAGGAGGCTGAGATCTGAGGATCATGGTTCAGAGCCAGCCCAGGCAAGAAAGTCCATGAGACTCTTATCTCCAATAAACCACTCAGAAAACTGGAAGTGGCCCAGTGGCTCAAGTGGTAGAGCGCCAGCCTTTAGCTGAAGGGCTGAGGGACAGCGCCCAGGCCCAGAGTTCAAGCCCCATGACTCACAAAGAAAAAAAAAAGTCAAAAGTGGAGTTGTGGCTCAATTGGTCAAGTGCTAGCCCTGAGGGGAGGGGAGGAAACTCAGAGATAGCACCCAGACTCTGAGTTCAAATCCCAGGACTGGGATCAAAAAGAAAAAAAAAGCAACAACATAAACTACTCAATTAATGGGGTTGGAAGGTAAAGAGCCAGGGTTGAGAGGACAATGTGTATGTCACTCCACAAAGGACTCATCTCCCTCCACAACTAGGCAGTGTATACAATTGATTGGAAGTTGGAATGATTGCCATGGCAGATTCGTGACTAACAGAGGACAGGCAGCTTCTGAAGTTTTTGTGTGTGTGTGTGTCGGTCTTGGGGCCTGAACTCTGGGCCTGGGCGCTGTCCCTCAGCTCTTCAGCTCCAGGCAAGTGCTCTACCACTTGAGCTGCAGCACCACTTCCAGTTTTCTGGTGGTTCATTAGAGATAAGAGTCTCTGGGACTTTCCTGCCCAAGCTGGCTTTGAACCTTGATCCTCAGATCTCAGCCTCCTGAGTAGCTAGGATTACAGGCATGAGTCACTGGTGGTGCTGGGCTTCTGAAGCTTTTACTGTGCTGAATCTGGAAGCCTCCCCTTTCCTCCTCTACAAACCCCTAATTCACTGGTCCTCACACAGGCGGTCTCCTGGAATGCCAGAAGACCTAATGCTGTAAGAGAAGCACTATGGTTCCAGGCTGCCTGGCTTCGCTAGCTTTCCAGTCTGCCCCATTTCCATCCCCATGACTACAGTGTGTGTGTGTGTGTGTGTGTGTTGCAACTGAGCTTGAACTAGGGCCTCATGCTCTTGGTTGCCTTTTCAATCAAGGCACTCTACCACTTGAGCCACACCTTCACTTGCAGCTTGTTGGAGGTTAATCAGTAATAAGACCCTCATGTACTTTTCCTGACAAAGCTAGCTTCAAACTTAGATCCTCAGATTTCAGCCTCCTAAATGGACTAGAATTACAGGCATGAACCACTTGTGCCTGGCCTTTTCCATGCTTCTTGGGTTGTCTATGAAGAGGGTCAGCCAAGAACAGCTAAACCTATTGACTCTCCTTAGGGACTCATCAAGAAGAGCAAATCAAGCTAGAGAAGGCTAATGGCAGTAATCCCAGCACCCCGAGGCTGAGGCAAGAGGATTTAGAGTTCAAGGGCAGATCAGGCTGCACTACCTCTTGTCTCCAAAAAAAAAAAAAAAAGAAAGAAAGAAAGACACACAAGAGCCCCTGGCTCAGGCCTATAATCTTGGCTACTCAGGAGGTTGAGATCTGAGAATCACAGTTGGATGCCAGCCCAGGCAGAAAGTCGGTGAGACTCATCTCCAACTATCCACCAAAAAACCAGATGTGGAGTTTGTGGCTCAATCGGTAGAACACTAGCCTTGAACACAAAAGCTCAGGAACTGCATCTAGGCCCTGAGTTCAAGCACCAGGGATGATACAAGGGGGAAAAAACAACAACAAAGGAAATCAGAAGGGGCAATCAGGGAGTCTGGACAAGGCTCAAAGTACAAGCAGAGATTTTTTTTGGGGGGGGATGTCCACCCTCCCTGGAGACCTCCCCACAATTACAGAAACCTACCTCTTGTCATTAGCACAGGATTTCTTTTAGGGGGCCCGCCAGTAAAATAACTCACACAGGCTTTGTTTCCCATCTCTCCCTTTTCAGGGGTTCTGCTGAGTTGCAGTGGGGGGAGTCTGCTCCTGAGACCATGGGGTTACACTCACCCCTCCCACTCTTTGCACACAGTGCCCCCCCCCCACCTCAGCCTACTTAAGAGCTGGGCGAGGAGACAGGCAGGGCTCCAAGGCTGTTATCTCTCAGCACAGCTGTTCGGTAGCTGGAAGCGGCAGCTTATCAGGGAGCCTGCAGTGATTCAGAGCCCAAGTCCCAGCTTCTGTGCTGAATAGTAATTTCTGGCCGTGAATCTGTGCTCAGCCTCTCTCCTCCCCCCTCTTCCCAAGGGTGTGCTGTCCTTTTGCAGAGAAAGGGCAGTCAAGGGGAGATCCTGCTTGGGGCACTTCGTGCCAGGCTTCTGGGCAAGGCTGTGGATGGCAAAGAAGACTGCAAGCTTAGGAACCTTCGTGCCCTTCACGGTGACCCTCACAAGAGCTCCACCATGCTCTTCTCCCTCCTCCTCCCCCCAAAGGAGGAGCTGCCCCTTTCCCCCTCAGTAGGGACATAAAAGGGGGAGGGGGCAGATTTCTTTCCAGCCATACAGTTGCTGATTCCCAGAGCCCAGCCAAGCAGGGCAGGAGAGCCAGGGCTTGGGCAGTGTGTCCCCTTGCAACCATTTTGAAGTTCTGCTTAACCCTGATGATGCCAAGGCTAAGATGGAGACAGAAGGGGGAGGGAGAGTAGGCAGGTGAGTAGGAAAAGACCTGGGGACAGAGCTATTATTGTATTTGTTTTATTGGGAGCAAAACTCCTCCAGCTGTAGGGCTCAAGGGGGGAAAGCTTGGGAAATTCTGTCCAGGCTTCTCGCTCTGGGCCAAGCCACCAGGTTGTTACAGGGGGGCGAGGGACACGATGACACAGACTAGGACTCCCCCACATCTCAGACTCCCCTATAGTTCCTTAGCTTGTGCCCTCCAGTCAATTGTGGGGCTGATTCCAAGGGCTCTCCCTAGCTACCAGAGTCCCCGCTCCCCACTCATCCATACTGAGGGGCCTGTCCCACCGCCCAGCCCTGCCTTCCTGAAGCATGTCCCAGTTAGTTACAGCCCCAGAAAAAAAGTGAAGTTTTTGCCTCTTTGGCCAACACATCCCTCGAAGCTACTCCGGGTTCTCCTCCTGCCACTCCTGGGCCCCCTCTCTTGTGGCCTTGCGGGGGAGAGGGGTCCATGACACCAGTCTGAGAAGTTTGTGTCCAGGCTGTGGGCACCCGGGGGGATCCCAGATACAGAAGACTGAAGGTGTTGGGGGGAAAAGATCCAGTGGCTCTAAGTGGCCCAGGACAGGGAGTTGTCACCTCAGGCAGTCCGGCCCGCGCCCCCCTCCCCGGGTCCAGGATGAGACCGCTTCGCGGCGCCTTCTCCAGCCGCGGGGTCGCCCAGGCTCCTTTTAGACGTGGGCGCGGTGGACGCCGCAGAAGGGCCGGGATCGGGGTTCGGGGGCTGGTAGCCGGGTTGTCGCGGGTCCAGCGCGTCCTTGGAAAGTAGGATGGCGAGGCTGGGCACGTTCTTCAGTACGCTGAGGCTGGCGGCGGGCTCTCCGGGAGCGGGGGCCGGGGCCGGGGCCGGGGAGGGCGCGGGCCCGGGCGGGAGGCTCTGCCACACCTCGCGCACGCTCCGGTAGCGCAGCCGCGTGACCTGGTGTAAGCCGGCCTGGCGGCGCTTGAGGATCTCGGCGCACGTGACGGTCTTGGTGGTCGCCCGGCCGCAGCCGCTGAAGACGATGGCGCGCGTGGCCGGCTGCGCCATGCTGGCGGTGGCGAAGGCCAGCAGGTTGCGGATCTTGCTCCCCTCTTTGACCCGCATGTGCACGGCGCCCGGCGCCAGATCGGCGAAGGGCCCCGGGGCTGCGCCGCCCCCCTCCGCCCCGCTCCCCGCCGGCGCCTCCTCCGAGCGCACCTTACGGAAGTTCTCCATGCGCCCTGCTCGTCGCGACCGCTGGCTCGACCATGGGGACGCCTCAACCCCACCGGGGCTGCATGGCCGCGGCGGTGTTGGGAGGGGCGCCCGGAAAGGGGACCAAGGATGCAGGAAAGGCGTGGACGCTGGCGGGACCCCGCGATCGCCGGCTTCCCACGCCTCTCGCTCCGGTGGGCGCAGCTCTAACCCGCGCGCGCTGCGAGCCTTGTGCTCCGCGCCTTTGGCCGAGGCCACGCCCGGAGCACGAGACCCCGCCCCTTTCTATAGACCCCGCCCCCAAGTCGGCCTCCCTGGAACCTAAGAGGCTACGCTCCCGCTCTCCAAGCCCCGCCCCTCCTCGACCGTCAAACCCCACAAGAAGGCCACGCCCCTTGTCCGGCCACGCCCCGTCCCGTCTCTGGTGTCAAGTCCGCGTCCTCAGTTGCCCGGGCGCCGGGGTGGCTCAGTCCGCCGCGCGCGGAAGCAGCGCCCTGGGGTAACTTAGAAGGCGAAGTCTCCCCGGTAATCGACATCAAGTCCCTTCCGAATCCCCTCGACCTCCCTAAAGGAACGACCTGAATTAAAACGGCTCTCCGTACCCCAGGTTCCGAGCCCTGCCCGGTTCATTCCCTGGTCCCCCGCTCCCCGGCTTCCCGGCGGCTTACGGGGGACCTCGGCCCGGGACCCTCGGGGACCCTTCCCTCCTGCCCCAA